AATTGTTTTTGTGTTGGATAGCGCATTTATCGAGGATGACTATAGGCTATAAAACATCACGCTACGACCAACAGGAGCTGAGCAGAGCGTGTGAAACCGCGCGGAAGTACCTAGTCATAAGTTTATGTACAGTTAAGATTCACTCATTAAAAAACTCACATATGAAACATTTCTCGTATATTAAGATTATTATATTGCGCTTAGTTAAGATAAGTAGCGATATAATGACCTCTTTTGACCCTACAACGATATGCGACAATTTGTGAACTGTCTGATAGATCTGTGTAATAAAATTATACAGGGTGACTTGTAACTCGACGTGTTCCTCTCGGGAGGTGATAATACAATTAATTTCCTACAAAATTAGCTCTCAGGTCTCTGGTCCGAAAGTGGCTAGTTTCTGAGATATTCAACACATTTGGTTTTAATTTAAAATCGCGGGTTACTCACGTGAATATACCGAGAAATATAATCTACACTATAATATAATATAATATTATAAAGCTGAAGAGTTTGTTTTTTGTTTGTTTGTTTGAACGCGTTAATCTCCGAAACTATTGGTCCGATTTGAAAAAATCTTTCTGTGTCGGATAGCGCATTTATCGAGGAAGGCTATAGGCTATAAAATATCACGCTACGATTAATTGGCGCCGAGCAGAGCGAGTGAAACCGCGCAGAAGTAGCTAGTAAGAGTATATTCACGTGAGTAACCTGCGATTTTTAGTTAATTTAGTATGTATCACGATAGTTATAATATATAAACAGTTCTAGTTTTGGTGAAATATTCCCCAACTGACTACAATAACATCAATAATTAAAATATACCAGTTCGATTTACGTTGTTTTAGATTTTATCAGTTGTCAATACATCAATTAACATTTATTTATACTAATATTGGCAGAAATATTGTTCGTTAATAGCAAGTAAATTAGTATCAAATGTTTTGATTCAGTAATTTAGTCAATAGAAAACTGGATTTATTTAAAAAATTTATATAACACCAGGCGTACAAACTAAAAGAAGACCTTCCTTTGTTTATTAGCTATCAAAAAACGTTAAATCTCTATATATCTATATTATATACTAGCAGTCCGTCCCGGCTTCGCACGGGGTAGAAATTTTTTTTATTCAAAATGAAATGTAGCCTATGTTACTCGAGGATAATGTAGCTTTCCAGAGGTGAAAGAATTTTGAAATCGGTCCAGTAGTTTCGGAGCCTATTCATTACAAACAAACAAACAAACAAATTTTTATTTGTACCTATTTTTGTATGTTTGTAATGAATAGGCTCAAAAAGTACTGGGCCGGTTGAAAAAATAATTTCACCAATAGAATGCTACATTCTTCCAATTTGACATAGGCTACAATTCATTTTGAAAAAAATTAGGGATCCTTGATAAAATTTGAACAATGTAACCGAAGGTGTAGAAAAATGACTCTTAAAACGTCTTTCGTCGAATGCGCTGCCGAAACTATTAGCGATAGAACAAAATAATGTACTACAATATTGAAGAACATCATAATGCCTACAAAAAACTCCGCGGTAGCATATGTCCAACTATTGTAGTTATGTCACTACAACAATCCAAATTTCCAAAAATAAATAATTGTCTATCCTGTGCGAAGCCGGGACGGGCTGCTAGTTATTCATAAAGTAAATTCTCAAAAGTACATTAATAACCTTTTTTTTTCGAGGGGGATTTTTACCTCAATAAAACCTTCCCCGGTGGCCACCATCCTCACCTAAAGGAGGCACCGGGTCCTCTTAGTAGACCAACCTCGGAACCCCCACAGTGCAACACCTGTTGCGGTACCTCCCTATGGAGACCTATGTGTCTCTCCTAGAGCCTCTCTGTGCAGTGCGCGGTGGCACGTGACCACTGTGCCGCCGTCATCCTTGTGGAGTGGAAGGATTTCAATCGCAGAAACAAAGGACTTCATGGGAACATTCTTGGGAATGTGGCATTTAAGTGTGGGAGAGCCATGCTTCGGCACGAATGGACCGGCTCGACCAGAGTGATACCACGGCCGAGCAGAAAACCGACGTGAAGCAACGCTTGCGTTGTGTTTCGTCGTATGAGTGAGGTTACCGGAGGCCCAATTACCTTCCCCTTCCCCAATCTCCCCAATCCCTGAATCCCCAACGATCCTCAAACTCCTAATCCCCAAAAAGCCGGTGACGCACTTGTAACGCCTCTGGTGTTCCAAGTGTCCATGGGCGACGCCGATTGCTTACCATCAGATGATCCGTATGCTCGTTTACCGGCTTATGCCACAAAAAACAAAAAAAAGAAAATAGTAATTCGGTAGTGCGCTGGACAACTATCCGAATTAATGCTTCCATGGGATAAACCTGAAATCATTTGCAATATGGGTATAGCAATATGGATAAGTTGGGCGGTGCTGGTGTACGTGTCATGTTCATGAACGGGCGCCGTCAACTGGGACTGGTCAGCTCCAGACTGTATTAAATTTGTTGTCCTCAAGGTTATTTATTTCTTTCTCGTCTGGACTGAATTATTAGTGTTACATTGTTCTCACATAATTGAACCAATGAAACAATGTAACCAAGGATACTGTATTGTGAACCTGATTGAAGAAGAGTATCCTATCGAGTTTCTTGCTCGTTCTTAAACTGTCAAACACCAAGCGGTCACCGGTGACCGCAACCTATTGTTCTATAATTGTGTCTGCAAAACCGGTACTCGACGAGTTAACTCATCACGCCTTTTATCCCCGAAGGGGTAGGCAGAGGTGCACATTATACCACTGTACAATGTAACACCCACTTTTCACTATTTATGTTACGAGTCCCATGTAATAGCGGGTGAGTCTATTGCGATATACCGGTCACAATTTCAGACTCCGTGCTACTACTGAGATTTTTTTTAAAACCCAGTGATTCTTTGTCCGATCCGGGAATCGAACCCGAGACCCCTTGCCCGGCAGTCGCACTTGCGACCACAGTCAATGAAATTTAAAGTCAAATAATATTTCAAAATTTTGTTTCGACGTTCAAAAGAACCTTCCTGGTCTAATTGAAATAAATGATTTTGATTTTGACTTTGACATATTCTACGCGGTCAATGTCGCGGGCAATAGCTGACGTTGAATATCTCAGTAACTAGCCACTTTCGGCCTAGGGCCCTCAGGGCTAATTTTGTAGAAAATTAGTCGTTTTATCATATCTCAAGAGGAATACGTCGAGTTATAAGTCATTTATACCTAGAAGTGATAGGCAGAAGTAGAACTTGTCTAACTTCAAAACAATACATAAAAAAAACATTACTTATTTTAAACAGTTTCAATGATTCTATTCTACCAATCAAGCCTTTACGTTTGATATCCATAATGGAGATAGTTGTGGTAAAATATGTCTTAACTCGTCGAGTACCGTCATTATAGACACAATTAAAGAACAATAGGTTGCGGTCACCGGTGTCCTCGCGGTGTTTGACAGTTGAAGAAACATACAACGACAAACTTTAAGAAAAATGTAATACGAAGGACTAGATAATTGTGGCAAAGCTATTTAACCTCAAATTAACGAACTAACAAAGAATATTAATCGCCAGGACTAGCGTATTGCCCGATGAATCTCGAACAAAAAGGGGTGGTTATGTATTCGTCTAAATTTCTTCTATCTTCAAAAAATCCTAACAATATTGTATGGTCATTAAGATTAAGAGTATGTACCAAATATCAGATCGATCTGTCGTCGGCAAGGGGGTCAAATTCTAATTACTAAAGACCCAAACAAACAAACGGGGTAAGCTAAATAAAACCGTTTAAAAATCATTCGATTCGATTCTCTATTAAGTCACAATTTATGATCAATGTACAGTTTAATTTCGTACGTACACTGACTTCTAAGATACCGTTTTTTTCCTAGTTTAGAAGTCAGGGTCCTTTTGCTCTGGTCACAGTCATGATCCTGGAAATGTTAAAAATGTGATCCCTCTGGTAATAATAAAGATTTCTTTTTTTAATTCTGTTGTTACAAGTGAAACAAGTGAATTTATTTCAGCAAATAGGCTACAAGGCAGCACTTTTACACGTCAATTTTATCAAGCGAACGATGAGGCCGATATTTCCTAACTGACTACTCTGAGAAGAAATGCCGAAACAAACTCAGACGTCAATATCTCTGTTAATACTGATATTACTTAGTTGTTATTATTATTTTAGTATTTACAAAAAAAAAAATATTAGTATACCTAGTATTAAATTGATGTGTCAACAATGCCGTTGTCGAATAAACAAAAACAAATTAGAAAAAGAAAGAAAATAAGTAAGAAAGAAAACACAAAGATAAAAGAAAACATATTTATTTTACACACAAACTGAACAAGAGCACGTGTTCTGCAAATGCAAGGCATCTTCTTGGATCTTGCGCAGCTCGACTGGCTCTTTACGTCGTGTGCGGTTAAAAATACAATAATAGTAAAATAAAATGTTATAAAAACAAAACAAATAAAAAAAAACAAAAAAAGATAAAAAAAAATAAATAAATAAAAAATGTATTATAACAATCCTTTAAACGAAGCGATTTGGTGTATACAGTACATAGGATAAGACATTTATATTTATGTTAATTTAAAATATTAACTAATTTGGAAACAGCATTCTGCGACAAGAATCAAATAATGCAAGAAGTACCAGCGCGACAGTCGCCGCGTCATGTGTCGAGGAATGCTGCTCATGAATATGAACCTTTAGCATAGCTTGAAACTAGTCGAATTGGTATGATGACAGGGTATGAAAATTTAAAATCTAATTAGTCCGTAAGTTAGGTAATGAAAAATATTTGACACGTATTTTTTTAATTTGTCGTATAATAAGTAAAATGACACTTGGATAAAACGAATCAAAGTTTAGGAGTGGGGGCTAAAACGTCATTTCTACATAATAAAATGTACACAGAAGTGACGTCACGCGACATTTCAAATCAATATATCGTCGAAAGTATTCGTTTCTGTAAGAAAATAAAAAATACGTGTCTAATGATTTAAAATAATCTATCTACCAGACGGACATTAACACAAAAATTAGGTATTTACCCTATTCATCGACAAACTGTTACTATTTAAATAATTAATTTAGTGTGTTTCAAAAATGTTGTATTTATAACCTTTATTGGTTTACTATTCGATGTTAAATAAACCTTTGTGATACTCCTACACAGGTATTGAGGTCTTCTGTAGCACTGGATACTCGACGTAGCTAGACTCCATGTTCTCCCAACGAATTTTGAGGTGCTATAAATATATATATGGACATTAACAAATGGTTAGTTTCCTCGGGCAAAGGTAACTGATTTCGACAGTTCAATACAATAACATATTCACAAAATATCAAGGCACTGTAACTGTTACGCCACGCTCTAAACAAATGCATGTTAAAAAACATCCTATTGGGTACTTGCAAACTAGTCAAATTCAATACTTTTTTCTAACTGTCAAAAACGACAGTTTTCAAAGAATTTTGTACGAGATTGTGTGTTTTGACGTCACTTTTTTAAGCGTCAAACATCATACTTATTGCTTAAAAATTTGCTGGAAAAATACTAATATTATAGTCAGAATTTTAATTAGATTCCAGATTTGACAATAGCTACTGTCATTTTGTGAAATAATGATACCACATATAATAGTGTAGTGATGAACACCAAAATCGATAAACAATCATTGTGTGTGTTTTATAATAAATGTTACAGAAAGTGACAGGATAGCGATAGCGATGACGGCGACAATTTATAAAATAACTTATTACCATAATACATCTATCTGTTTTATTTATCATGTTACTTAATGATTACATTTTTTTATTTATTTCACACACAATTATAAAAGAAAAGTCTCAGATCGTTAATTAATCGTCAAACTAAATTATCGGTTCAGAAATATTTAATTTCCTGATATACTTAGTTTACGGGAGTAAAATTATAAACGAGAAGTCTCGATCCCGAAATATTGCATTTCCATATCGAATAATTTCGCAACGTCACTATTTAGTACTTGTCATAACGTTGCAACACTGGAATTGTCAAATCTGGAATCGAATTAAAATTCCGAGTATAGGTGGTTATAAAATCAATCAATGAAATTGTGATAATTTTTAAAATATTTTATTGTATTGAACAGTCGAAATAATTTATTTTTGGCTAAGGGAAGTACCCAATTGAGCATGCTCACTAATGTTGTTATCGAACGCCTGTCGATTTGAGGAGGAGTGATACCTCGGCCTCAGAAAACCGACGTGAAACAACGCGTGCGTTGTGTTTCGTCGTGTGAGTGAGTGAGGTTATCGGAGGCCCAATTATCGCGAGACAAGCCCCCCCTCTTCCCCATTCTCCTCAATCCATGCATCCGCAATCCCAGAATGCACAACAGTCCTCAAATTCCTAATTCCCAAAAGGCCGGTAACGCACTTGTAACGCCTCTGGTGTTCCAGGTGTCAATGGGCGACGCCGATTGCTTACCATCAGACTGGTTTACTGGCTAATCCTATAAAAAAAACCTACTATCGTCAAGTTTAATCTTCTTTATAAGCAGGTCATGGTACTCAGCAGGCAGCCTTCCTTTTCCATGCTGGTACCTCTGTTCCTTCTTTATCATAGCTTCCCTGTGCAGCTGTGTCGTCAGTTCTCTTGGCACATTTGGTATGAAAATTCGCATCACAGCTGTCATGCCGAAAACCAAATGCTGTAGAAGATGGAGTAATTAAGAAAATCGGTGTCTATATAATACTAGCTTCTGCACGCTGCTTCGCCTGCATTCCCGTGGGATAGAAAGTAGCCTATGTGTTTTTCCAGACCATATTCTACCTGTGTTCCTAATTTCATCCCGATCCCTTCAGCCGTTTTGACGTAATTGAGTAACAAACAAACACACAAACGTATGAGTGTTAAATTTTAATTATATATTTTAAGTATGGGAGAGCCATGTTTCGGCACGAAAGGGCCGGCTCGACCGTAGTGATACCACGGCCGAGCAGAAAACCGACGTGAAGCAATGCTTGCGTTGTGTTTCGACGTGTGAGTGAGGTTACCGGAGGCCCAATTACCCTCCCCTTCCCCAATCTCCCCAATCCCTGAATCCCCAACGATCCTCAAACTCCTAATCCCCAAAAAGCCGGTAACGCACTTGTAATGCCTTTAGTGTTCCAGGTGTCCATGGGCGACACCGATTGCTTACCATCAGGTGATTCGTCTGCTCGCTCTTACTTTGCCATAAAAAAATAATAATAGTCATATAAATTGATGTTATTTTGATTACATTCAGCATAGGTTAACCATGATAGTACAGTATTTTTGAGTTAGTAGTGTCTTCACAATATTGAAATACTACTAAATGTGAAAAGTTACCAATAGATGGCACTAAAATCTGATAGTTTGACTCGAATGTACAACAGATGGGTCTGACCTCAAAAATGACGACAAATGCCAGTCGGGCTGTGAACACGTGCCAATACAGAGGAGTTAAGCCGTAGGGGTCATAATGATCTGGGGGGTTCCTATACCCCCAGTACCCACAAACTGGGGGGTCCACCTCGTTGGCATCGGCGCCCCAATCTGCCTGATAGTCTGATGTGTTGAACCCTGAGAAGAAAATATAATACATATATATAGAAAATTATGATAGGTTACATTATCATAGGTACTTGTAACTTATCGAATGGTCGGTAAAGAAGTAGTTTTCAAAAGGAGAATGCCCACGGCACTATGGACAAATGTACTGAATTCAATATTGTTGTGTCTCCATGAAATAATCTTTAAAATATTCGATGGCATGTCCAAATACTACCTCAAAAGTTTTAACACAAAATACATTGGCATTTTCAAGATATTCACAAAATAAAATTACTATTTTGAGGTTATGTCCGATCAATAATTAACTGAAAAAAGCTATTTAAAAGGGTCTGAATGGGTTTTATGGCTTGGTATCTTGGAAGCATACTTATTTGTGTAAAATCTGTAACGTGTTAGCTATGTCAGGTGGCTAGTTACTGGTGGACACATGTGTCTACCTCACCGAGTCTTATTGATTTAGATTTTGCGCATTTTTAAATCTAACGCCCGCGTATCATGAAATTGCAAAGCATGGAAGGAACCGTTACTAAAATAGTCAATAGCTCGGTGTTATATCTTGGCCCTACTCAAATCATAGATGTGGTAGGTATCATGAAATGGCCTTTATAAATACCTACAGAGGGAAGGAAAACAAACAAAAACAAATACAATAAATAAAATAATGATTATTTCTTATTATTATTTTGTTAGCCGAGTGGTCGCAAGTGCGAATGGCGGGCAAAGGGTCTCGGGTTCGATTCCCGGGTCGGGCAAAGTATTACTGGGTTCTGAAAAATTCTCAGTAGTAGCACGGAGTCTGGAACTGTGCCCAGTATATGGCAATAGGCTCACCCCCTATTACATGGGACTCATAACATAAATAGTGAATAGTGGGTGTTACATTGTACAGTGGCATAATGTGCACTGCCTACTCTGCCTACCCCTTCGTATATAAAAGGCGTTATGTTATGTTATTACTATTTCTTTTCTTATGAGCAGTTGAGACATTGCATCACAGTCGCACTCGGCATGATCGTAACTCAAAAAGTCCAGTTATTAGTGATAAACAACACACACGGTGCTGCGACGTTAAAAGTATGTTTATTTTCAATGGATTGACAGGAATTACGGAAGAACTAAAAGGCTCGACTTGACGCAGAACATACCAAAATCAGCAGAAATAACAGTATTGTATTGTAAAAATATGACAGACGCGCAATAAACGTCAAATAAGGTTCTACCCATAATGATGAAAGATCGATTTTTTTTTCTATTTCCGTAAACCAGCCAGTGGTATTTCACAAATACAACATGGTGCTGATGCCGCCGTTTACAGTGAATGTTGTTACTTTATAATAATAGATTGAACAATCAATACAAAAAATAGAATACCTACAATAAAAAAAATAACATTTAGGGAACAGCGAGTAAAGTTCCCTAAGATCGAAAAAGGAGGATCGTTCATCGATAGTCTATGTGCGTAAACTGTCATGCTGTCATTTGACATATGTCGGCACAGACATACCTATAAATGGCGTACTATAACTTCGGAAACATAAAATTACTAATTAATTTTCAAAAAACTATCCCAATGTAAATATCATTCAAAGTCTGTTTAAAAATATATTTTTATTTTAGATGTTACATGCCGTTAGAGATTTTGAGACACAAGTAATTTATCAAGAGTACTGTCCATGGGCATTCTCCTTTAATTCAATTTCAATGTTCGTCTAGTAGACAATGTTAGAACAATGGACACATTTTTTTTTCTGTTCTCTTTTAAAATTAAATACTTTCGACGATAATACATTAACTTCAAATTTTATGTGACGTCATGATTTACTACATTTAATAGGGTAGCATGACGTAGCGACCTTCCACTCCTAAACTGACTTCCAAATATTTAAATACTAGCTACTTCCCCGGAGTTTACTCACTCTGCTCGGCTCCTATTGTTCATAGCGTAATGTTTTATAGCCTATGGCCTGCCTAAACGCAATATCAAACACAAAAAGAATTTTGCAAATCAGAGCTTTAGTTCCTGAGATTAGCGCGTTCAAACAAACATACAAACATATTCAGCTTTATATATATATATATAGTAGTGTAAGATTTTAACCTTAAAATATGACAAAAGAAAAAGAATAACTATCGTATATTTCTATTACCTAACTGACGGAATAATTAGATTTTTAATTTTCATACTCAGACACCTACCCCATTTACTTATTTGATATAATATAAATATTATGCATGTACAATGTAGCACCCACTTTTTACTAGCCATGTCATGTATGATTCTCATTCGCAATACCAAACAAATTGACAAACAAAAATGACAAACGGTGAAGGAAAACATAGTGAGGAAACCTGAGCTTATAATTTCTTATTATAAGTTTGGAATTGCCAACCCGCATTGAGCAAGCGTGGTGGTTAATGCTCAACACTTCTCCGTGCGAGGGGCCTTTGGTCAGCATTGGCCACTTATAGACTGTTGATGAATAAATTTCCAATTGGGGAATTGATATCTAAAGCTAATGTTTAGCCTACTTGGTAATAGGATTTCTAGACTTACTAAATAGTCAAAATCGGCCGTACTCAGTATCCAAACCAAGTTCTATTGGTCATCATAACAAAATAATAAAAATAGGAAATACTCACACGCTAAGCAATGGTAAATATATCCAGACAATGTATGATCACGCGAATATCCGAAGATATATACCATCCGAGGTATAAAGTCACTCGTGTATGCTATCACAAAGGCCTGTAAACAGATCAAAAAAAACTATATTATCATAACGACATCTATTTGCCAAGTTTGGGAACTATGTGGTATAGTTTACAGGAGAGGGATTGTAGATGGCGCTTCTTTACAGTATTTTTAACTATTTGCGGCGACTTCATACTGGCATTAGATTTTTATTGTTTTGTGGGAATTTATAAATAATGTCAGTGTTCGTTAATAAGAATTTTAGTTTCAAAACCCATCTTCGTGTCTTCTTCACACTTCCCAAGAAACATAAATTCTAATTATGCTAAGTTTTAGCTTAGGCCAATAGGTTTGGTTGTGCATTGTCTGTCAGTCAGTCAGTATTTAAACGGCTCCTAACTCAGTAACGGCTCAATGCAAAAATAAAAAACCACTTACATTGGACACCACAGCTAAATAAGTGATAGCTTTCAAAACATCGTACCTGTTAGGACAAGATAATTTATTTAAGTATGTACCCAAAGAATACACAAAGAACCATATTATCTCTAAGGCAAACTAGGCAAGTACCAGGCACCAGGTTACAGAGGGGCGCTGCGAAACGCGCGTGTGCAGAGTGGTAATGGCACCAAAAGAAATGAAAAGGCGCCTATGAAGTGCTTACCTTTTTTTAAGGGGGGGAAAATCATCGAATGACTGCTCCCGCCTGGGTGAGACGGAAGGGAGTGTTAGACTCTTACTGACTAAAAACCACCCCGTTCCTTCTCCTGCACGTCGAGACGGAGCCCCGGTAACCCGTTAGGTTCTCCGCGACTGAAGTGCTTACCTAGGGCGGTCTCTAGGTTTAACCTGCTTCTGCATACACTACACGTTATCACTACATAGTATAAAACAAAGTCGCTATCCGCCGTCTGTACCTATGCATGCTTAGATCTTTAAAACTACGCAACAGATTTTGATTTTTTCGTGGTTTTCTTAATAGATAGAGTGATTCATATTCATATTGCGCTCGTGCGAAGCCGGGGCCGGTCGCTAGTTAGTTATATAATGCGGATGGAGTGATAAATTTGGTGTTGCGATTGTCCTTACCTTAGTACTAATTTGTTGACAACTTTGTTTGCCAGTTCCAATGAGCCAACAAATCAGAGTGCGCGGTCTCGTTTCGATTAGGTACTTTATAGGCCTCATGACCGACACCTTGCCGATCACTTACCATCAGGTAATCCATCTACTCGTTCAATGTCCTATGCTAAAAAACAGATTTGACCTTAATATTGACATAACATAACATCATGCCTTTTATCCCCGAAGGTACTCCTTCGGAGCCTTCTCCTTCCTTCTCTGCCTAATGGCAGAGGTGCATATTACGGCACTTAATACCACTGTACAATGTAACACCCACTTTTCACCATTTATGTTACGAGTCCCATGTAATAGGGGGTGAACCTATTGCAATATACCAGGCACATTTCAACACTCTGTGCTATTACTGAGATATTTAAAAAACCCAGTAAGATTGACTTCGATAAATAACAATATAGCCCGATTACATAGCTGATGGAAAAACTTACCAAGCTCCAATACCTTGGACCCTCTCAGCTAAAGGCCTGCGGGATTGCGTCAACATTTTGTAAGCGTCCAGTCGTATCTCTGCGATATTGTTGAGCAGCGCAAACAGGGGTGCGAGGGGGAACGCTGCCACGAACAGTGTCACGAACCCATATTGTATAACTGTAATTTTAAACCCATTTTATAAATGAATGAAGAAATAACCAGTTGTGTAAGGAGTCATTTAACAGAGTAGATTAGTCTAACTAATAGAAATAGTAGATTCCCGAACAAATTATCTGTACCGAGTCAACGCACTGCACTACACAGTCAAAATTCATAGTGTATTTTTTTATGGGGGGAAAATCATCGAATGACTTCTCCCGCCTGGGTGAGGCGGGAGCCAGAGCCCCAGTAACCCTTCGGTTTACTACAACACCAGAGGAGTCACAGGTGCGTTGCGGGCGTTTAAAAAAGGAATACGCTCTTTTCTTGAAGGTTTGAAGGTCGTATCGGTTCGGAAATACCGCCGACCACAGATCATTCCACAGTTTTGCTGTGCGAGGCAGAAAATATCGTGAAAGGCGCACAGTTGTGGCCTGCCAACCATCTATATGGTGAGGATGTATATTCAGTCGTGAGGGTCGATGGCGAAAAAAAGCCGCAGGTATCAGGTCATGGATAATCCTGACGTGCAGGAGAAGGAACGGGGTGGTTTTTAGCCAGTAAGAGTCTGACACTCCCTCCCGCCTCACCCGGGCGGGAGCAGTCATTCGATGATTTCCCCCTTAAAAAAAAATTAGATAAATAAAATAAAAAATACGCTTACTCATCTCCGTGTAGTCGTCAAACAACGCCAGTTTCCCAGCATCATGCAGGTGGTAGTCCTGCTCCCAGGCCATATGTGGTTTAGTGCGATCCATAGTCTTTTTTTTATGAGACCTCCTCCGCACCCAGTTGGAGAATTTTCTGCGGATGCAAATTGAATTTTAGTGAACTCATCAAGATCACCTTTTTGTTAAGGGGGGAAAATATTCCAATGCTACCGCCCGGGTGAGGCGAAAGGGAGTGTCAGATTCTTACCGACTAAAAACCACCCCGTTCCTACTCATGCACTTCGAACCAGAGCCCCGACAACCGTTAAGCCCTCCGCGGGTACTGCTTACCCTAGAATCATATTTTCAACCGACTTCAAAAAAAAGCAGGAGGTTCTCAATTCGACTGTATGTTTTTTTTTATATTTGTTGCTCGATTATATCGTAAACAGCCAAACAACGACTTCCACGCAAGGCACGTTAAATGATAACTCGCCACTTGTATCCACTGTCCAGTCCACTTGTACCGCGACTCTGACGATGTCATCGATCCACCTAGTGGCAGGCCCGCCAACATTATGTGTTCTCGTCCGCAGTAGCAACTCAAAGTCAAAGTCAAAGCGTTTATTTCAATTAAACCATAATTTCGTACTTTTCAGGATTTTTTTCTGTCATAACAACCTTCTCCTGACGATAAAAAAAACAACAAAAAAAGGTCAGCTAAATCGGTCTAGCTGTTCTCAAGTTATGGCGTGACAACGGGAAACGGGTTTCATTTTTATATATATATAGCATTAAATTACTTATCCTGCCTTGGGTGAGAGGGAGTATCAAACGCTAAGAAATAAAGAAACCGAGAGTATTCGAGAGCTAGTATGAAACGGAACGTTTATTGTCTACTCAAGATGGCGACTGCGGTTTGTCTGTCAGTGTCATTAAAATGAATTAATCCTATATCTATATCCATCCTACCCTTTTTGTCGAAGGTGCTTGAGGCCTGTGTCCATAATCAACTTTCGAATTTCATTTACCGTAACTGTCTTATTAGTCCTCTACAGTCTGGATTCAGGCCTGGGCACAGTACTGTAACTGCACTCCTCAAGGTCATTGGCGATGTGAAGGCGGGAATGGAGGACACTGAGATCACAGTATTGGTTTTGGTGGACTTCTCAAATGCCTTCAACATGGTCGACCATGATATCCTACTAGCTATCCTTTCCCATTTTTCGGTCTCTGATGACGCACTGGAATGGTTTTCTTCTTATCTTCAGGAGCGTCAGCAATCAGTTCACGTTGATGAGACCTCATCAAACTGGAACCACTTGCAGACTGGCGTTCCTCAAGGCGGTATTCTCTCTCCTCTTTTATTCTCTATTTTCATAAACCTTATTACTTCTGAACTTCAGTGTGCGTACCATCTGTATGCCGACGACCTACAGGTGTACTGTCGGGCTAAGATCGAGGATTTGCCTGGGGCAATCGCGAGAGTGAACGCTGACTTAGCTGCTATATATAATTGGTCTGAGAGGTTTGGAATAGCTGTGAACCCGAATAAATGTCAGGCGATTATGGTGGGAAGTTCTCGTACCTTGTGTAAGGTTGACAGTGCAACTATGCCGCCTGTACTGTTCAACGGTGCGATCATACCTTTCAGCGGCGACGTGAAGAATCTTGGCTTGTATGTTGACAGTAACTTAAACTGGCGTGCTCATGTCACTAGCATATGCCAACGGGTCACCGGGACGCTGCGGGCTCTGTATCGTTTGAGAAACTTTCTTCCGTCCTCTGCTAAGATAATGCTTGTCCAGTCCTTGGTTTTCCCCATTATTGATTATGCTGATGTGTGTTTTTTCGACCTGAATGCAGATCTACTTAACAAACTTGACCGCCTTTTGAATACCTGCATTCGATTCGTCTTCAACCTGCGTAAGTACGACCATGTCTCTGCATTTCGATTGCAACTAAAGTGGTTGCCCATACGTCAGCGCAGGGAACAACGGGCGCTAACCACTTTATTCTCCCTTCTTAATTCTCCCAATTCTCCTACTTATCTTTCCTCATATTTCCAGTATGTGAGCGCTAACCATAGCAAATACCTCCGTTCTTCTAATAATCTTCTGTTACAATGTCCCACACATCGAACTGACTTCCTTCACTCTTCTTTTTTCGTCCAATCCATCTTGCTGTGGAATGCGATGCCGACGGATATCAGGACGGCGACCAGTCGTCTGTCCTTCAAATTTAAGGTTCGTGAGTATCTACAGAAGAGGCTAGCAGACTCAACACACACTTAGGTCTTGTACGTATTTACATATATGTATGTGTATAATTATGTATGTATATATGTTATGTTATGTATTTTCCTTCGTATATTTAGGTATATATATGTCCCATACTTATTTGTCTACTGTTCGTTTTGCATTACGTATATATTTTAATACTTCTTCATTATATTTAATTAGTATATATTGTGTGATATGTATAATTATATATGATGTTAATGTTAATGTTAATTATTGTGTCACTCTAATAAGTGTTAAACGTTTACACCTACTATTGTATCTCTCTGCACCACCCTAAGGTTGACTGTTAGAGAATGCCACTAGGCATTAAGTCCGCCGTTGTATATCTACAAAAAGTGTAAATAAATAAA